TTAGTATTGTGGTTTATAATACAAACTATACAACAGAAAAGAAACAGGAATTTTCCTTTAAACAATCGCAAAAGTAAATATTTATATGCACGCTTGCTCTTCTACTTATGATAAAGATTATTTTAAACAATCCAAGTTTCGCTGTTGATTCCATTGCTAATTATTTAACTTCCAAATGAAATTAAGGTTTTCATTTCGATGGAACTTGCAGCCTAGGTTTTTGGGATCAGCTACACAGACATCTAACGACCCAATTTGTTATTATTGCTTGCCCAGTAATCAATTTACTATTTTCAAATGCGACGTTTTTAGACAATCAGTTATGAATTCAAATCTAAAATTGAAATAATAAATCTATCAGTACTATTAACTAAAGTTAATCGTCAGGAATAGAGATGGAAAATTAATTGTAAAATATCAAAAACTTTTTGTATTAAGTATTTATTATGAATTAACTAAAATTGTATAGGATCACATACTCTGCGAGTAAAGGATTTTCCCGCCCACGTCTACGAAGAGAACTAAAAACCTCTGCCACAGGACGGTTAAAGGGCAGGAGTGTTTTCCTTTTCTTCATAGAAGAGGGTTGAAAAATACTCTTCTCGCAGGGTAAGAATCACAATATGGAGTTCCAGACAGTAAATGTCGCATYCAGATTGATATTTTTGACAGAATACATATTACAAAAACAAGTTAGGAATACATGTTAAGAAAAACACAAGCATCAAGCACAGTCTCTGACTACAATCTGCAGGTTTGACCCCAAAACTGAAGAGTTCCGACTTGATGCGTAAAATGAAGTCTTTTGGCTTATCTTTGATGGTGTTTTTCCTGGTGGAGGWCCTAATCGAAGCCCACATAAGATATCCGTCAAAACCAATCGTTCTGCATCCTCCCGACTCTCAAAATGTTCGAGCTTTTTTAGTTGCCCTTACCAACCTGCTGCAAGAAATTTACAAAACTAATCCAACAGGACATGGAGCTCCACACAAAGGTAACACTACATACTTAGCTTCAGTCAGACTTAATAGTATTATCATAACAATCATTATGATTTTAATCATTTCCAATCTATAGAAGAAACAGTTGTGTAAAAATATAAATTTAACACCGTAAAAAAGTAGGTGAAATAACTGACTTACGTTTCGGTCGTTAATCCTTCGTCGGAGTAAAAAGTGGGCTAGTAAACCGCTGTGTCACGCGTGAATTAAAAAAACAACCATTTTTGACTTTGCTTCGCCTTTCCGCTGATTATATATTGCGTTAATATAACGTTTATTATTTCGACCAAATGAGAACGTTTCCATGGTTTAGCCTCATTCAAACACTGAGCTGTTTGGGTGTCTAAGATTGTAAACATTCTATGTAAAAACAAGTTTGTTTTCTTTGTCTTTCATTGAAGCGTTCAAGAACTGTGAAGAACTCTATAAACGAGGTTTCAGACAAAGCGGTGTTTACACCATCGATCCAGATGGCAAAGGAAGATTCAAGGTAATTCTTGTACACTCAAATCTAAACGTTCAGCCAATTTAGGCAGGTTTTTATCAAAACAATGGTGCTTTAAAGTTTGATAGTGCATTGCAAGAACGAAATGATTGTTGGGTATCGTTTCACCACTCTAAATTTTTAATTGTTTCACCGTATAAAGCTACAGGCACTTGAAATCCAATATCAATAACAACAATGCACTGCGGTATTGGAATACGCTACGCATTATCACATACCCAACGTTTTTGAAGTAGCTGTATTTAAAAATTTCAGGTTTACTGTGATCAAAAGACCGCGGGAGGAGGGTGGACAGTCATCCAAAAAAGACAAGACGGTTCGGTGGACTTTTACCGAGGATGGAACGCCTACAAGAATGGATTTGGAGATCTGAAAGGCGAGTTCTGGTTGGGTCTCGATAAGATCAACCGACTGACCCATCAAGCTAAAAGCCGTCTTCGTGTTGACCTGATGGATACCAAAGGAAAGACCGCGTATGCCGAGTACGATTACTTTGCTGTGGCCAGTGAACGAGCCAAGTACAAGCTGAGTCTTGGAACTTACTCAG